ATAGTATGAGTGTTAGGTATATTGATGTGAATGTTAAAAATATTTCCATTAATGTCAGAAAGTTTGATTCAAAGAGCCGAACAAAACTTTTGTGGAAGCAGGTGCTACTGGCTGACCACCTTCCCTCTGATCAGTATTTTTAAATTAGGAATGACTGTTTCTGAATTCTAGGAGTCTCAGACCTAGCCATTTGTCCCATGTGTGCATGAGGTGCCATTCAAGTTGAAAATACCAGTACGGCAAATAAAAAAAAAAAACGAAAATAATTTTTCTTTTTTACGGTAACGTTAGCCTAAATAACATAGGACATGTTAGGTCTAAAGAACATTAATGAGGCTTCCAAAATTTATTGTAATAGTGTATATACGAATTAACATTTATTGTCAATAATTCTAACACATACGATTTTCATGCTTAATTAACTTTTTAAGTTAAAGAAACAAGGTTTAAAAATGTAATGTTTTTTACAAATTAAAATTAAGTCAAATAAATCAACTGTTATAACCATATATCATTATCATACTAGCAAAGTACCCGGCGTTGCTCGGATGAAAATGGCTTTAACTGGTTTAGTTTTTTATTTATATGCTAATTTTTGTTTTACTGTAAAGCTTCTTTGTACTCAATATTTTTTATTTTGCTGTAAGGAGCAAAGAAGAAGAGGAAATTATGAGCAGAGAAGCAAATGAAGACTCCACGAAGTTTTTAAATCATTTTAACACATAATTGATCATAGATAGAATGATTAGGAGAAGCCCTCACACAGAGAAGAAACGTAAATAATAGCCCTCTTGATCATACATTACCAAAAAAAAAAACGACCTTTTCAATTTGAGACCAATTGGTCGTCTTGGTTGCAAAAAAAATTTATATAGTGGTCACTTTGGCCTCAATTTGCGGTCTTAAAACGGCCTCTGAGGCCGCGGCCACATAGCACATGTTACTTCCCGCACAAAGTTGAATCTGTACCCCGCGTTAAGAGTTTGTGGCTTTAAAGATGTGGCTGTGCATAAGGAACAGACCCACAGAGAGAGAGAAACATTTGCGCTTATATATATATATATATATA